TAGTGCTTTGTCATCCTTTGCAATTCAGCTTGAAAAGGTTTGAAGCGTCACAGACGTGGAGGCTCTTTGGGCTCACAAATCCCCACACGCCAAGTTGGGTTCCAACGTCGCACCTGTGGAAGTCCGGCTCCGAGTTGCTGCGCTTCAGCCCTTCACTGCCTTCACAGGGCAGAAATCATAGAAAGGCCTTCCTCGTGCTTCTGGGTGCTTCTAACTTAGGAGGTGCTAGCTGCTAGCTGCTGGCTGCCTTCTCAAACGTTTCACAGGGCCTTCAAAGACAGCATCAACTGTTCCGTTCTTCATGGTGATGGCAAGGGTCTTGACAACGTCGCCCTCCACCACCTTGGCACATCCCATTTGTCAAGAAAGCTTCAGACTACAGTCAGTAGAAGTTTGGAAACACAATCAGCGTATTGTAGAGCATCCCATGCAATGTGCTGGTTCACCATGCGCGCATGACATGTGCTTGCAGCTTGACTTTGTTTGTAGTGGGATTGTCAAGCCCACAAGGTTCTTCATGTGCCCTGCATAACGCAAAAACACCCAACTGCAAGACGCAACTCTTCGCCCTGCTTCTGCATTGTAGCTTCTTTCTACAAGACGCTACCAGTACTGTCTGACGATAAGAAAACGGACAAGCGCACCCACGCTATTGTTTCCGTCTACTGTATCCTGTCAAGTGTGGCCACACATTGCCTACCATCCGGAGCGGCTACGTAAGGCTTATCAAGCAGTGTTCAAGCCCTTGAGGTACTGTCAAGCTCTCCCTCGCATCATTCGCACCTTGCATGCCAACCATAAAGCTACTTTGCCATGACTACACATCGCTGCCCTTCACGCTTGTGTCGTTCTTATCAACTTTCATCTTACTCACCTGAAACAGCCCTCACAGTGCTTTTCACAACCACGATTTCCACGCCCCACTGGAAAAGCCTTCCCAACAAGTCCCGCGCCCAACACATCACCGGCGCGGATGAATTGTATCCGTGTGTGTATCTTATTTGTGCATTGGTTTGAAGTTTCTTCATTAAACTCCCTGAAAAGATACTATACTTGCAAGAATACTCTTCACCACTTATATACACAAAACACTATATATATATGTGTGTGTCGCAACCAGGACAGAGTTGCCCACACAACTCCCATAATAACCCTGAGGCAATCAGGTCCATAGGAAGCTCTTTAGGGTGACTTTTTCTGCGGCGCCCCTATGCCCATGCGCTCAAGCACAACTTGAGAACGGCTCGCTCTTTAGGACCATTTCCCAGCGAACTCAAGGGTGTTTTTTCACTCCCTGAGGGGATATTGGTGAAACCAAGTCGCATGAATTTTGTCCAGGAACTCCGTCTTGAAGGGCTGCACCATTCTGCTACGAAGGCCAAAGCGGAGACGGCAAAATCAAAGCTCCAATCTGAGCCAAAAGCCTTGCATCAAAACAAGTAGGCCGCGGCCGCATGATGGCACCGAGAACCATGTGACAACTCCCTCCATCACAAAAAGTAGAGTTTGATGCCATAAGCTCAGTATCTAAGCCCCCCGTCTCGCGGTTCCACCAAAGCCGGGAGGGCTGGAACCCGCAAATGGCCTTGGCTTGAGATGGGTCGTCGGTTGTAACATGTTGCAACCAAATCAGTGGACCTGGTGGAGATGAGTTCATTTGTGGATCCTCTCTCAACACCCAAACGAGAAGCACCTGACCTTTAGCCTGTTCGGACGGCTTGTTGAAAAGCCATTGATGGTGCACAGGAGGCCTGTTGAGAGGCAATGAGAGGTCCAGTGGCATACGGTCTTTCACCCTTTCACTTTCTCTCTCCCTCTCTTTGGTCATGCTTCACAGTGCTTGAGCAAGAGATCCAGACCTTCTTATGGAAGAAGAACTGGCAATCATGAACTGCAACTGGGTGCTGATACGCTGATGTTTCTCTTCAGCATCTGATTGGTGAGCCCAAAATAGCAACCACAAGAGCTTGGATTCCCAGAGTTCCAACAGTCTCCCACCAACTTGTGCCAATTCCGCAAACAGGCAACGCCAATGACACTGCTTTAGGTCAAGGAACCCACAGAGTTGCTGCTTTGAAGTCCATTTCTTCCTTTGTGGTGCTCACCTGCAGATCTCCTGCGTGAAGATCTGGACAAACTTGTCCAACAGTGGGGCGAGCAAGTGCATTGTGTCTTCACAACATGTCCCAACCCGTGCGATCTCCTCTTTAGATGGCCAAAACATGGCTCAGACTTAATGCGAGGAAGGGGCACCATCACCTCATCAGAGTGTCGCAATCAGGACGGCGAATTGTTTCAGCAGGAATGATGTCTCGATTTTTGTCTAGTTTCATACAGGACGCGTTGGCGCAGTGCTGCTGAAAAGCAGATGTCACCCTCAATACAGACAAGCGGCACGGCGTTTAGATGGCATCAGGGGTGGCAGACTGCACCCAACACTCCTGAATGGGTACAGAGGGAAAACAGCTAAATGTGTTCTAGAATTTTGCTCGAAGCTGATTGACCAAAACGGAAGATCATGAAGCAAACCTTTGTCTGTCAAAGGCAGAAAAGGCTGGAAGACATCACGTAACTAGCTCGAAACATCAATAGCTACAAGAAAGGCTTTGCTTTCAATCTAGACCAAGAAAGAAAGCGTTCACTTCCATTTGTGTCCAGGCACGGCAGCTTCAGGAGCTGCGAGCTGGGGCCTCGCGGCTTACACAATGGTACCCTGGCTCGTGCGGCGCTGAGCAAGACTTTGGGCAACCAAGACGGGCTATGGAGCAAAAAGAATCGAACACACATGCTTCAAATGCCATGTCAATTTACTGCATTTAAGTAATGTCCTGTGTCTGTGGTGGAGGAGTTGGACAAAAATACAAAAATCAAAGTCAATTTCCTTCGTGGCGTCATCGACCCCGTTTTTCAGCAATTTTCAGAAGCAAAGGCGAAACTGGAAAACCGAAAGTGGAAAGAAAGCTTTCTGAAGGACTTTCTAACTCAAGCAGAACTTACAGTTCACAACCAGAATGATCAACATCGGCAGGAAAGTTGCCCATCTGGTTGGGCCCTTTACGCCGAAGCTCGTTCAGTCTTTCCCCAGCTCACGACCAATACCCTTCTCGCTGAATCCTCACAGATTCCATGGAAGCCCAGTGCCGCAGAAAAGGCGTGGGTCAGCAGAGAAAGCTCTGCAGTTGCACCCCAAATCTTTTGAAGCTTGAGGTGGAGATCAGATTCAGCATCCGATGTGAAAGTGTTTGCAATCATCGCTACCATCTGAACATGTATGGAACTAGGACATGGTTCGTTTCCTATCAAACAAACCACCTCAGATTGCTTTGCAAAAACGCCACCTGATGCAGCTTCCGCAGAAGCACCGCTTGGGCTGAAGCGGCTCAACCCGCACTGCCTCATGCGACGAACATGCGCCTATGATATTTTAGACTACCACCAAAACGTTCCCACATCATGTCTTTCGGCGATCCAAAGGGGCATACGGCATACATTGAGCATTCAGCTAATCTTCCTCTAACTACTCCACTTGATCCAGAACCAAGTCAAAAGTGAACAAAGAAGTGGTTTTGCGGAGTCAAATTTGTAACTTCTCTGCTTTGGGTAGACTCACAAAGTGTACTTGACATTCTCACCAGGGCCATGTCTTGGATGCTGCGCATTCAACAGTATTTCTAGGAAAAAAACAACCACTATGTTAAACCGTTTGAAGAGGGATGAACTACTGTGGTCCCGCTTCTCCCTCCACTCCTGCATTCACGCGATCGACACTCAACATGGCCTCCCGGTGTCCCCGTGTGGGGTCTCGGCTGGCGAGCCTCACTGACAAAAGATCGGCTGTCCTCAGCCGTCCTCTAGTAGCTTCTTGTTCCTAGTACTAATGGCATCTAATGGCCTCCAACCTAATAGCGATAGTCTCCAACCTAATAGATGGCCTCCACCTAGTAGTGGAGGCTCCAACCCAATAGCGATGGCATCCAACAACCTAGAAGCAATGGCCTCCAACCTAATAGCGATGGTGGCCTCCACCTAGTAGTAATGGCCTCCAACCTAGTAGGGATGGCCTACACCTAGTAGCTTCTTGCTACAAGTAACATTGGCAAACAAGTTTGACCCCCCATCACTCAACATAGCACAGCGCGTCGCTCTGAGTTCACAGTGGGAACAAGCATTTCTGGGCAGCGCATTTGACAAATTGGTTGACAGGCTCAACTTATAAGCCAGGGAAGACACTGCAAGCGAACATAGTCCACTACCTAACATAATCATAGTCAGTCCGGCTACCAGTTCCTTGCAAAAAGAGACGAGGACGGCTTGCAAGTTGGTTTCGCATTCGCGGAAGATGCACTTCAAGTAAATACCATCAAAATCCTCTCTGTTGTTAGACCATTGAAGACGCCAGCAGTTGTTCAAAGTCCAACGTGTCCCCTCTTTCATCCCATCAGCTTGGAAAACATCACCCTAACCGCTAGTACCTCCACCTTAGAGTGGTCAATCGAGTCTGAGTCCCACACCTCAGCAGTTGGAGTGTGGAAGGCTTCAACTTCCGCTCCCCCGCCGCCGCGAGGACTTGGTTTAAGGATCCTCTAGCACTCCCACCACAATGTGGCAACGAACTGGAACCGCATGAAACCACTATTCCAGTTCAATGGATTCAGTAGTCCAGTCTGCGAGTCTCTGCTTCTTTGCCATTGAAACACCACACCACTCTTTCTTCCTTGTAGTGCCTTCACAAAAAAACCTTCCTGGCTCCGACACTGGCTTTCTTTGACAAAACTGCATGAACCCCACTCGAGTCTCATTCGGCTTCTTGCGATTTGTAAGGCTGGGTTTGACGTCCAACACAAATGGCCGTCCTTCAGAGACAGCTCGTGCCAGAGATTCTCCATCCTAAGCAACCAAATTGTGGTTTGTTTAAAAAGAATAGTAATAGTAATAACAATAAGAACTCTGAGCAGGACTTTAGAAGCCTTCTTCTTCTTCCTCTTCTTCGTCCTCGTCTTCATCTTCCTCTTCTTCCTCTTCGTCTGCTTCTTCTTCTTCTTCTTCTTTTTCTTCTTCTTCTTCTGCTTCTTCTTCCTTCTTCTTCTGCTTCTTCTTCTCGGTATGGACCAGGCTGCTGTGCCCTTGCAGCCAAGTTTCATTTGCCTTTCATGCAGAGACCATTTTGCTGACTTCGGGTTTGTTGAAGTTAAGCGCTCAAAACCTCCAGCAACACTACAGGAGATCAGCCCACTTACCCTATTGTTACGTGGAAGAACATGAAGGCTGCAGTATTCAGAAGCACCTCTAATTCACTTCATGACCACATCCAGCCACGTCCAGCCACCCAGCTACACGACTCAAGTGCCAAAGGCTCTGTGATGGACACCTTCTGCAACTTCTGATAAACCTCACAGCCGACAGCGTACGTGTCAAGAATTCCTGACGCTGACGGAATCCTATCAAGCAAACAAAGGCCTGAATCGTTGAATTTCTGGTGACACTTAGAAGCAGTGAATCCTTCATGGTCCATCTTTAACTAAGGTATCATGACACACAGTCTCCCAAGCCTGACTGACTTCAGTCATCGGTTTCATCAGTTTTCGTCTTCCGGCCTTGAGTAAATCCTTGCTGCTCCACCCTGGCCTGGCTTTCTGAAGTAGCGCATACCTGACAGCCACTGCACAGTCGGTGGTGTGCATCAAGCCTTACCGGGAAACATGCTTGGAGGCTGAAAAAAGTAACTAGTGATACTGAATAGTACCTTGCACATATGATTACGTATATTATGTCAAAGGAGTTCTATGTCACTGCGTCTTTTCAAAATTGCAAGGTGGTGTTTTGGCACCCGTTCCCGATTTTATTGCGAAGAGACCCGGGTCCAAGCATCTGGTCCGATCTCCTATTCAGCGTCTTGAAAGTTACAGGAAATCGTTAGCTGAAGGCTTGAAATGATGAACTCCTGCGGAGCAAATCCAATGATTCCAATGACTCACTAAAAATACGTTGGAAAACTGCAAATGGATATGACTCTGACAGCCCTTGTTTCTTGAGTAGCCATGGGAAAAGAGTAGCCATAAGGCTATATAATTGTTGTCCTCCAAGCTGCAGTCCCGACGTCGGCATCGCCCCATTGCATCGGCCCCGACTCTCAACCGTCGATCTGCTTTTGGCAAAAAGACTCAAGTTGAACAATGGCATCCACTTAAAGTTGGCTTCTAGAAAGCCAACTTCTGAGCAAATTGGTCATGCTGAACTCTTTGGTCGGGCTGAACTTTGTGGTTGAGGTGCGTCACCGAAGTAGAACGGCCCTGCGACCTGCGGTCTATATAATAGACAATAGATACTGTTCTAGGTTGATCAGAGCATTTCACCAATGCATTGTCTTTGCTTGACGGTGGCTCGCTCCACATGCATCTCTCAAGCCGCCTTTCAGAATTTCAGCTGAA